CGGCCGGCCGGATACCGTATTTGCCGGATGCGGTGAAACGCGCCGGATGCCAACAGTGCGCCGAATAGTTTGGATGCGCCGAGGATTTTTTTTTTTTTTTTCCGAAGTTTCGAGGACGAGAAACTTCCCCCTGTTTGCGTTTCGATGATTTGCAACGCTCGAGAAATAAAGTATATCGGGGATCTTGGGATAAATTATTAAAAGACGTTAATCGAGTTAATAAAATTAGAACTCGAAATTGTAATTTGAATTTTACCGAGTCCCATTTCCTGTCGGCGTTTCGGTCACAGAAAGTAGATCGTTGGTTGACGCAGTGCCATCGTTGAAAATAGACACAGAGATCATTTTCGCGCGTCTATCGCGTGTCTAAATTTAAATTTAACGATATTACATGTTTCGGGATATTTTATCGCGAGTATATATATGTGTGTGTGTGTGCGTGTATGTTCTTATGCATATTAACTATATTAGTCGTCTTTCAGTTTTGCGTCACTTGCTCATGATATAATAACATTGAGTAAAAAAAGATCCAGACACACTGAAAAAAAATGTACTAAATACAAAAAAAATATTTTTTGATTTAAAAAAATTATTTATTTAAACTTAAAGAAATTAGTTATTTTAATCAAGCAACAAATATATTTGAATTAGTAAATCTCATATTGATTGTTCAACTTCATCGATATCGGTCGACGATGAATGTTAAGTACGCTACGTACTTTTATCACGTGCACGCACATACATTTTCAATTAACAGGACGGCTGTTTGATTTTGAGTTTTTCGTGCATCAATGCTGATTGAATTACCCGTCCCGGGGCACCGTCTCCATTTCCTCTCTCGCCGTTCCGGCCCAATGACCTGTGACCTTTCGCCATCCACCATCCACCATTCGCCGGCTTCTTTCATTCGATGTCCTCGATGTCTACACACTTCTATGCACTTCGATACCGCACTCTACAGCGTACTTCAAAACCCGCCCGGTAAACTAATTAATTAATTAAATTAATTAAATAACGGATATCATCCTTTGATAAAAATAATAAAAATAATAATGATTTGATAAAAAAATATAAATATAAATTCACAAATATTTAATATTGTATATCACTTATTATTTCAATATAAAAATATGTGAATGATAATAATTTTATATTGTACAACTCTTATCAAGATCAATCGCGAAATTTTAGTATTCGATATCTTAATTATTCATATGATATTTAACATTTAATAATTATATGAAGATTGATTAAGATGAAGATTTAATATTGCAAGAGAGAGGTCTTGAAAGAATGACTCTATGATGATTCTAGAAAGGATTTGAAAATACTCGCGTGACAAATGGGTGGTTTTTATCATCTCTTCTCGGAGCGAGATGGGAAAACACTGTGCCGAAAAGTGTTTTCACATTAAATATGAACACGGGGGGATGAAATGGCGGTACAATAAACGGCGGGGTAGTATTTCATGGTAATGCGGGCCAGTCGTAATTCATGGCGATGTGCCGAGACCTGTGATAATGCGAAGCGATATTAAAATGATTCTCACATTTTTTGTACGATTCATTATATTCTCTGCATTAAGGGCATTAATCATCGAACGTCAGTAAATAAATCGCCGACAGGGAAGACGGGTTGTCTTCTAAAATTTTTATCTATCTATTCTGAGAGATTAAATTATAATGCACACGCGAAAATATATATATATAT